CAGAAAGTTGGCTGACCCTGCATTCACTCTGCAGCCGCGGCTTCACTCCTGCTTGAGTCCCGCAGCCTGCTGGTGATCGGGGCACTTCCTACACTCGCCTCCTCCACAGCATCGCGGCCACCTGCACAGAGACACTTGATGGCTCTTTGCCACCCAACCTCAGCCCAGAGCCCGCCTGATGGGTGGTGCCCGCATCTCCCTGACCATTGGCCGTGCGCCCCGCGTGCTGCACACCAGCCTCCTCCTCGGCAAGTGAACTGGACTTGATGGGCAGTGATCCTCTGACCTTGGGGCCCTGGGACAGAGGTGGCTCCTTGAGTTATTATTTGCCAAAAAACTGTAGTTGTCACCCAAAAAAGACTATCCCAAATAAACTGAAAATATCGTTAAAAAAATATATACAATGACAGGCTCATAGACCAATGGAACAGAATTGAGAACCCAAAAATGGACCAAATCTATCTGTAGATAGCTTTAAAGAGTAGAAATTAAAATAAAGAGCAGAAATAAATGCCTTTCTCCAGAAGTTCAGGGTGCCACCTCTCCAGACAGACTCTATCTAGTTCAGCTTCTCATATCCCCAAATAGTCACTGCCATTGAGCTGAATCTGAGCCTGCATAGGGCGTCTGACACTGCGAACCTTAACAGAGAAAGACTGTCCAGCTTCCTTCCAGGAACCATGCTGGCTCTGAGCCAGCCGCTGGTGCATCCAGATGGCTGCAGGTGAGAAGGTTTTGGGAGTGGTGCGTTGTTAGCACACTACAAACTATGCCCCCAGAGCTCCTGTTGTGACCATTTTAACCACTACCTGTTGTTGTTACCGTTGAGATGTGCCTTCAAGTCGGAATCACTCAGAGCTGACCCTCCAGCGGATTTTCAGAGGCTGTAAATTGCTCGGGAGGAGACAGACGGTTCATCTTTCTTCCACTGAGAAGCTAATGGATTTGAACAGGATGCCTTTGGGTTGGCAGAACAACTCCTTACCACTAAGCCACCCGAGCTCCCTATAACCACTACAGGGCTTAGAATTCCCAGCACGTGATTATTTTTTTGTGGGGCGGGAGGGGGAGCACCATTCCATCCATAGCAGGGATGATACTCATCAGCTCAGGCCCTGAAGCCAAACCATCTGGATTCAGATGCCAACCCTCCCCTAATGAGCTCTGTACTTTCAGGCAAGTGTTAAAATCTCTCTGAGCAGTTTCCTTATCTTGAGAAAAGCTGCTGTTACCAGTGCTTCTCTCAGAGTTGCAAGGACAGATTAAATGGAATCATGAAAATTCCCATTGCTGTGGCATCTGAACGAACTCATCACTGACCCTCCAGCAGGTTTTCAAGAGACTGTAAGTGGCATGGGAAGAGATTGCCCAACTTTTCCCCTCGGAGCCGCTGCTGAAGCTGAGCCACAAGAGAAGCCACCGTTGGGCTGTCAGCGTAACTCCCTATGCGTAACAACAATGTGTAACACAATCTCCCCTGGGAACGATGCCTGCCAAATCGTAGACATTCTGACTCTACTCGTACAGCAAAATATTCATTATACATGCCTAGTGTTTATTCAGCGTTTGGTATGGATCCAGCCTCTGTATGAATTGCATCTCAATGTCAAGAAGACAAAGATTCTTACCACTGGACCAATAGACAGCGTCATGATGGATGGAGAGGAGATTGAAACTGTCAACAGCTTCATCTTGCTTGGATCCACAATTAACACCTTTGTTACCATTAGTCAGGAAATAAGGAGACGCACTGCACTGGAAAAAAGGGACCTTTCAAAATTCTTGAGGAGTAATGATGTCAGTTTGAGGACTAAGGTGCATCTGATTCATGCCATCATCTTCCTGATTACTAGCTATGCATCTAAGAGTTGGACAATTGATAAGGATGACAGAAAAAGAATTGACACCTTTGAGCTGTGGTGTTGGAGAAGAGCACTAAACATCCCATGGACGGCCAAGAGGACAAACAGATATGTCTTGGAGAGGGTGCAGCTAGAGTGCTCTTTGGAGGCAAGAATGATGAGACTTCACCTTACACACTTTGGACATGTTGTTAGGAGATGCTATTCCTTGGAGACAGACATGATGAGGTCAGCAAAAGAAAGGAAGACCCTCAACCGGGTGGATTGACACAGTGACTGCTGCAATAGGTTCTTTTGTTTGTTTTGACACAGTGACTGCTGCAATAGGTTCTTTTGTTTGTTTGTTTGCAATAGGTTCTTACGTGTCAGGAAGTGTGAGGATGGCACAGGATAGAACAGGGTTCAGATCTTTTGTTCATAGGGTAGCTATGAGTCATACTCAACTCGACAGCATCTAAGAACAAGTGCTTCGTTAGTGTGAGGGACTCTTAGGAAAGATCTGAGGTTGAAATCCACCAGCGTCTCATGAAAGATAGAGCCCTCTGCTCCTGATACAACATTGATGCTTGTGGGGCACTTCTACTCTGTCCTCTCGGGCTCTGTGAGTCAGAATGGATGGCGGCGACTGTAAGAGGTTTGTGGGTTTTTTTACTTTGTGTCAGATTACAGCTTGTACTTTGGAACACAGCTTTGTAAGACAGACCAAAACACTTTCTCCTCACATACAACTTTTAATTTTGGCCTGGAGAGAGAGACAGTAAATAGTTGGTGGGTAAAATAGACAGCTTTTGCTAGGGAGGAGGAAAGGAAGCAAAAAAGAGAAAGCAACATATTGGGGTTTTTTTAATTAAATTTTTATTTTATACTGGTTTACTTACAAAATTCTTATACACTGTTTTTCACACTCGATCTTTCCCATTTCCTTTACCGAGCCCTCCCCCCACCTATCAAATTGTGTGACCCTAGGATTAACCCCACCAGCCCCTGGCCATCCTCACCCCTCTGCTCCTATCCTCCGCCACCCGGATCCTCACACACATTACACTAGTTCTCTTTCTAAGGAATACTAAGCACAGTATACTTTGTAACTTGCTTCAACAAGACACAAGAACACAGTTACTGCCTTCCAGTCCTGGAAGATTGGCATCTGGCTCCGGGCGGGGAGAGCTGTCACATTCTTCTGTCCCCTCTCTCCCAGCCCCTCTCCCTCATTGTTTCATGTTGTGGGGTGGTTTCTTTTAGCCTTTAGAATTTTTATTAAAAATCCTTTGTTAAGGCAAAATTTACACACCTAAGGAATGCAATGATTGCAAGCTTAGAAATTGGTTATATAGTTAAAATTAACCATTTAAGAACATATCTAAAAACAACAATGTTTTGGTACACAAGAAATAGATGTGAGACCTTAAACCAGCATGGGTTAAAAGATTTCTTTCTAGTTCCTCGTTCCTTTTTGAAGTTTCCCTCAACACTGTGCTCATTGTTTCTTGACTTGTTGGTGAATCTACTCCAGACCATCTTCCCTCGGAGCTTCTGCATTTCTTTTCCTCTTTTTTAATTTTTTTTAAAAAAAATTTTGTACTGGTTTACTTACAAAGTTCATATACATTGTTTATCACACTAGATCTTTCCTGTTTCCTTAACCCACCACTCCCTTCCCCCATCACATTGTGCAACCTTATAATTAACACCACCACCCCCAGTTCATCCTCACCCTCCTGCTCCCCTCCTTGGATCCTCATGCACGTTTTGCTAGTATCTATTTTTACAGTAATGGTTTTATACAGTATTTATCCTCATGGGATTGAGTTAGTTCACTTAGCATAGTACTTTCCAGTCCCTCCCAAGTTAGATAGTGATTTTAAAAAATCATTGCTCTTGCATGCTGCGTAGGATTCTATCATGTGACTGTACCATAATCTCCCAATCCATTTGATCATGGTTGGACATTTGGGTTGTTTCCATGTTCTTGTGATGGTGAATAACACTGCTATGAACATTGGGGTACAAGTGTCTATTTGTGCCTCAGTTCTCCTTTTCTCAGGATATATTCCAAGCAGTGGAATAGCTGAGTCAGATGACATTTCTATGTTCAGTTTCTTGAGGAAACACCCAACTGCCTTCTTCCAGAATGGTTGCACCATTTTACAATCCCACCAACAATGTATAGGAGTTCTTATCTCGCCACATCCTCTCCAACATTCATTACATGCTGCCCTGCTAAACCTTGCCACCGCTACGGGGGTGAAATGGCATTTCATTGTGGTTTTGATTTGCATCTTTCTTATTGCCAGTGATTTTGAGCATTTCTTCATGTGTCTATTTGCCATCCAAATATCTTCCTCTGTGAAAATTCTCTCTCTGTGTGTGTGTGTGTGTGTTTACAGTCAAGTCAGATCCAACTGGCACAAGAAGCGATTGCTCCTCCTTCTCCAGAGGAGCATCTGGTGGATTTCTTTCCATGTCTTTTGCCCGTTTTGTATTATCAATCTTTTTCTTGTGGAGGCCCTATAGGATTCTGTAAACTTTTAAAATGAGATCCTTTCTTTTTTTTCTTTCTTTTTCTTTTTTTTTTTTTTGTTGGTTACACTTTAATACATCAGATGGGCTTTGGGGGACAGTGGGGCACATTCAGTCCTTCTTGGCAGCTGCCTTCCTCATGGCAGCCAGGACATTGCTGAGTTCTTCTCGCTTCCTCTTGGCGCGGATGTGTTTCCCCACCCTTTCCTTGATGAACTTGAGGGCCCGCTTGTCCTTGGAGACCTTGAGCAGCTCCATGGCGCGTCGCTCATAGGGTGCGAAGCCACACACCTCCCGGATCATGTCCCGCACGAACTTGGTGTGCTTGGTGAGGTGCCCGCGGCGGCGGCTGTGCCTCGGCTGGCTCACGTTCTTGGTGACTTTGTGGCCCTTGTTGAGGCCCACGGCCATAGGGTAGCGCACTGCCATGGCTGCTGCACGTCGACGGCTGCCGCGGCGGAACGAGATCCTTTCTTTTAAGGATTTCATATCTTTTCCTCTTTTATAAGCACAGAACTCAAATTGGAATAGGTGCCACCCTACTCTGGTGTGACGTATGTTAACTGGTAACATCCTCAATGGCCTCATTTCCAAGTCACTTTCTCAGGAATTAGAGGTAAGGAGTGAGCCCATCTTTTGTAGGAACACCATTCAGTCACACAACTCAAGAGATAGACACAGCTTGACTGACCTTTTTCTTTGAGAGCTTTGCTTCTCCTGTATAGAGGTCTGGACACATTGCAATTCTGGACAGATGACGAGGTAAGGGAAGAATGAAGTTGAACATTTAGATAATCTGGAGAAGGTCACCATGCTTCGGAAGGTGGAGGGTCAGCAAACGAGAGGAAGAGCTCCATCAAGGTGGATTGGCACAGTGACTAACAGTGGGCTGGAGCAGGGTGCGGGTGGCACAGGACAGGACAGAGTTCAGATCTTTTGTCATAGGGTCACTAGGAGTGACCTGTTGTTAATGTGATGGCACCTCACAATAACAACAATGGGCATGGAAGCTGCAGAGTGTTCTTGAAGGTTCTAGAAATATGGTCAGATGAGCAGGAGAATTGACCTTCTAGTGGCCTCGTGGTTAGAAGTGCACTGACAGCCCTAATACACGCAGTTCGAATCTACCAGCTCCTCTGGTGGGAGAAAGATGGACAGTCTCCTCCCACGAGATTTAAAGCCTCTGAAGGCCCACTGGAAGCTCAGCTTTGAGAAGGCTCCAGCTCCGTCAACTGGCTCTGTGACTCCTTTATTAAATTTGAGAAGCTGAACACATGTGAGCAATGAACCACTCTCGGCCCAAGTGGTCACCAGGTGGATGGAGTTAACAGCATCTCCATCCACTACATTCACCCTCAAAGAACATATACACCTGGAGCGGAGGGAATATGGCACTAGGAGTTGAGGCTTCTTTTTTGCTTTTGAAGGATGAAGAATGTATTCGGCCTGGACCTGCTACAGACATGAGTTTCTTGGAGAAACTGGAAGAGAAAGTGGGCAAGCATGCACACTTCCAAACGTATGTGCTTTGTTTGACAAGTAATTGTGTTAGCACCGTCTGTTTATTTTCCTCTGGCGTGTAGACAGTTTTTCCTTAGAGCGAAATATCGTCATGTTCATGAACTCATAACTCTGCATGCCTTTTGTCAGTAGAAATCAGACTCAACTCCCTTTCAACTGTAGGGAATGTAGGGTTATACGTTCTACTTTACTCAATGATTGTTACATTTTGGACCATAAAATATTCACATTTTTTAAAAAATTCAAGTATAAAACACACACAGTGATGCTTTTAGACCTGAAAAGAATCATCCAATGAGCATGTATATTTGTGTGATTTCTATAGCCACTATGAAGACCAAGATATACAGTAGTTACAGCATCACACAAGATCTGTACTTAGAAACATATTATATGGGGGAAAGGGATGTGAAGAAAATGGGCAAGATCCAGTGTGAAAAGCAATGTATTTGAACTTTGTAAATAAACCAGTATAAAATAATTTTTTAAGTAGGCTAAAAGATATAGAGAGATTTCAGAAGGCAAAAATGATATAAAACAGAAGTGAGAATGCTAAAAAATAAAGTGACAATTAAAAAACAACATGAACCATGTTATGGCATCAGAAAGACCTGGTTTCAAATCCCAACTCAACTACTTTCAAGGCTTGAAATCTTGGGCAAGCAACTTAATCCTTCTGCATTTGGATTTCCTTTTTCACAAGACAGGGTTAACACACTTACCATGTAAATTAACACATCCATCTGTTGCTTACCTCTGTACAGCAACGCACAGACCAGTGCTATATCACCTAGAAGAATGTTTGACAGGAAGACAATTTGAACCTGGCCAAGGGCCACAGATGAAAATCACCCACCTTTAGCTTGGTAGCACAGCTTCCTTTCCACTAGGCCAACATAGCTCTCTCTGGGTCGTCATCATTGTTATTGTTGTTTGATGCCGTCGAGTTGTAGACGACTCATAGCGACCCTTATGAACGAACAGCCTGAGCACTGTTCGTACACAGAGTTTCCGGAGGCAAGCCATTTCGGAAGTGGATGCCGCTCCTGCTTCCAGGCTTGATTTAGTCGGGAAGCTCCAGCCAACACTGTCCACCATGGGTGCCCATTACCACAACTGGCACATCACTGTCACAGACTTCAGCATCACAGCAACCACGAGTTACCTCTGTACGGGCACCCATGGTGGACAGTGTTGGCTGGAGCTTCCGGACTAAATCAAGCCTGGAAGCAGGAGCGGCATCCACTTCCGAAATGGCTTGCCTCTGGAAACTCTATGTACGAACAGTGCTCAGGCTGTTCGTTCATAGGGTCGCTATGAGTCGTCTATGACTCGACGGCATTAAACAACAACAACAACAACAACAACAATCTGTTGCTTGGATCAGATGAACCTTAGTTTTTTTAACCTGATATCCTTGCTTTTTAGCACTCTTTAAAAGGTCCCTGACAGCATATTTTCCCACAGCAATACAGCTTTTGATTTCTTGACTGCTGGTCTTGATTGGGGATCCAAGTAAAATGAAATCCTTGACAACATCACTCCTTGCTCTATAATCTGATAAAATAGGTAGAGAGAGTTCCCAAGATCCTTCTCGGTGGACAGCTTTCAAGCCTGGCTGTCAGTCAATTGACATGTTTAAAGACAACTCTCTTTACTCTTTGATTTGTGTGTTGGTGCATATCATTGGAGTTAAGTAGTAAAGGTCAGTGTAGGTCTATTTCTGTCTTGCAGCCGTAGACTGGCAGGTCCAAAGGGCAGAAAGAGAATTGGCTGGATGGAGTTCTGTCTCCTCCACTATGCAGGAGAAGTCACATACTGCACCAAGGGTGAGTGCCACACAGGTACTGTGTGTGTGTGTGTGTGTGTGTGTGTGTGTGTGTGTGTGTGTGTTTCCAGTCTGGGACCTCCAAGAAAGTCATGAGTCTGCTGAGGAAATAGCTCATCCTGCTCCAAGGTTCCACCTCATATTCAAGTGTGCCATTTGAAAAGTTGTCCCAACTGCTTTAAATAAGAGGCTCCCAGCCACCAAACGATTGTTGATCAAAAAGGCCCACCTCCAGGTCCTTACTGCCTTAAATAAGAAGCTCCCAGTCAACAAATGACTTGATCAAAAAGGCCCACCTTCCGGGTCCCAAATGCTTTAAATAAGGATTTTTTAAGTATTTATTAATTACCTGGCCCCGAAGAGCAATAATGTTGATACAAGAAACCTGATAGAATCCTAAGAATTCTATCCTAAGAATACTAAGAAATCCTTTTTAAGACTTCCCTTAATATTCCAGTTGTGATGGATTTACCTTTTCAGGGGAAAAATTCTATTCTGAAAATTTTTATTTCAAATTTATAGGATTCTTGGAGAAAAACAATGATCTACTTTACAGACATCTGAAAGAAGTAAGTCTGAAGCATAACTGTGTGGTTCCATGTTATACTGAACTTCAAGTAGTTCAGTAGGTTTAGCCTGCTGGGGTTTTTTCCCCCCTTTGCATGCAATGCATTGGAACTGCAGAAATTGTGGCTGGAAAAGAGCTTTCAGGGAGCTCTGGTGGCATAGTAGGTAAGGAGTTGCACTGCCAACCCAAAGGCAAGTGGTTCAAATCCACCAGCTGCTCCATGCGAAAAAGATGAGCAGTCTCTTCCCTAGTGATTTACAGCCTCTGAAAAACTGTTGGAGGGTCTGCTGTGAGTTGATTCTGACTTGATGGAAATGGAAAGGGGGGAGGTAAGTATGAGCTTCAGTGTGAGTGTGGCTTGGCTTATGGTAGTTCTGGAGTTCCAGCTATAAACAAGACTGAGTCCTTATACACCTCACAGTGGAGCGGGGAGGAAGGTCTCAACCTGCTCTTGTTCTCTTATTTTCTTACAAGATAATCATTGCCAAGTTTTCTCATCTTTCTCTTTCCTTTTATTCTTTCTCTGTTCTTCTCGTAAAACTTCCATACCTCTGTAAGAGTTTACAGTTGAGCTGAGTTACGCAAGTACATACTTAATGTAGAACTAAGGAGCTCTGGTGGCGTAGAGAATTGCACTTCTAACTCAGAAGCTGCACTCCTCTGGCACTTCTAATCCACCAGCTGTTCTGAAGAAATAAGCTGGGTGATCCCTTCCTGTGGAGTTTAGTTATCGTCCTGGAAGTCTGCTGAGCGTCAAAATCAACTCAGCAGTAATAATGGGGGTGAGGGGATGGGGAAATGTAGAATTAAATGTTTAAAATACTCAGAGCTGTTTTGAATATTGATGATTTTTTTTAAACTTTAACGAACTGAAATTTATTATCTTAGAATTTAGGTTACTAGACAGGCTCTCTCTGTCACTTCTAGAGCAAGTTCCTTGTTTCCTTCAGCATCTGTGTTGCTTAGAGATCTGCCTACGTCTTGGCCTTTCCTGATGTCAAGGATTGTCCTTGAACAGACGGCTGGGTCCAAGAACACTCTGGCAGTTCTTTCTGGGTAATTGAATATTGATGATCTTTGAAAATGTATGCACAAGAGAAAATTTCCAACCAGACAAAAAATCGACTCACTCCCACCCTTGACCCTAGATTCCCTAGTTTCTCTCCCCCAAGAGCAACTCTTGTCCCCTGTACATTGTGAATTCTTACAGGGATAGTACAGCCAGTCTCTGTATATGTGTATATGTGTGTCAGATACTTATTGCTACCATAACAGAAATACCATGAGAGAGTGGCTGTGAAGAACAGAAATTTATTTTCTCGAAGTTCTGGAGGCTGAAAGTCTGAATCAGGATGTGGATCATTCAAGTTTTTTCTGTGAACCTGAGTACCTGGTGTCCCCCAGATGTTCCCCCAGATGTGGGACCTCACGCATACATCACCAAGCTTTCCTGACAGCCCCTTAGCAACTTCTGAAGCAGCTGATGCACACCTTTCTCCCCACATACAGGTGCTGTGTTGGTCCCAAAACAGCATCCTGCAGGAGTGTTTCCTCGTGACTGAGTTAAAAAGCCGAAGGAGGCCGCCAACGGTGAGAGGGAAAGGGCTCATGGAAAGGTAACAAAAAATTCACCCAGATGGTGCGGCTACCCCACTGCCTGACTTCCTACGCTGTCCTTCCACTTTGACACAGTGTCACTTGATTGGTCAAAAAACCCAGTAAAAACAGCTGCTATGATGTTGAGTCTGATTCATGCAGAGCTCATGTGTGTCGGCTTAGAGCTGTGCTTCATCAGCTGTTCAATGGCTGATCTTTCTGAAGGAGTTCACCAGGCCTTTCTTCTGAAGTACCTCCAGATAGACTCAATCCCTCAACCTTTCAGCTAGCAGCTGAGCACATTAGCTGTCCCCATCTCTTACTTTGTTGTTGCTCTTATGTGCTGTGGAGTCGATTATGACTGAGAGCAACTCTATGAACAATGAATCTGAACCCTGTCCGTCTCTTACTGTTTTTGCTCTTGTGTATTATTGAGTTGGAACTGATTCATCGCTGACCTTCTAGCGGGAGTTTTCAGAGGCAGTTAATCACTCTGGAGGAGATGGCCCATCTTTCACCTGCAGAGTAGTGCTGAATGTGAATCGTAGCCTTTGCGTTGACTGACAGCCCAACTCCTTATTACTAGGGTACCAGAGTTTAGTAACCTGGTCCAGTATTTGTTCACTGAGCATGGTGTGGCCAGGTGGTGTTCTGGACACAGGATGGATCCTCCAATCACAAGACAAGCCTCAAGGGGCTTACAGTGTACTGGGAAGACTGGGCAGGAAAATCCTGTCATGCCAACAAGCATGCAAGTGTCAGCAAGGAAGCGTGGTGACAGAGTCAAGGAATTTGGAGGCAGATGACTGTGGGACACTGACACATTGTGGGCAGAGGCTTGCTCACCTTCCACTTATATTGAGCAAGCTCAAGCATTTCAGATCAGAACACCCACAGCATGCTGTCAGGGAGCAAACTACTCACAGCAGGCAGAGCAATCCAAAAAAGAGAGTCCAAGTTTGAAAGGCAGCAGCCAGGCCTGCTCTCAGCATGTTTTCTCACTCGCACTCTTTCTCTCCATCTCTCTCTCTCTCTCTCCTCTCCTCTCCTCTCCTCCTCCCTCTCCCTCTCCCTCTCTTTTTTCCCCTCCTCCTCCATCTCCCCTCCCTCTCCCTCCATCTCTCCCTCCCTCCTCCTCTCCCTCCCTCTGCCCCCCTCCCCCTCTCCCTCTCTCCCTCCTCCTCTTTCTCTCTTCCTCTTTTCTCTTTCCACCTCTGTCTGTCTGTCTCTCCTTCTCTCCATAGGTGGGGACTCAGTTCAAAAACAGTCTGAGCAGCCTGCTAGAAATCCTCATCTCCAAGGAGCCCTCCTATATCCGGTGCATCAAGCCCAATGACGGGAAGGAACCGAGTGAGTGGCGAAAACTGAAGCCAAGCTCAGGGGAGTAAAGCCTGGAGAAGGGCTGAGGTGTCAGCGGGTTCACACCCTGCACACTGCCATGGGCCCACCTACTGTCCTCTGTGCATGGGTGCCTGTGACAAAGCTACACAGTCATCGATTTGCAGAGGGTGGGAAGGAAGAGCGAGTAAGTGGAGCCAATTGGGTGTAAGACAATAGAGAGTGGAAAGGACTGAGGCAAATTGGAGGAGGCACATGGGTGGAAAGGAGCTGCTCTCTCCTGACCAGTAGTGAGACCCCGGACCCAGGATGGTCAGACTTCATTTGTATTTTATTTTATTTTAATCAGAAATTCAGATTTTTCCTGCCATTTCCCCATTTTAGAAACACAGCTAAACAAACAACCAAACCTAGTGCTTTTGAGTTGACTTTTTAAATTTTTATTTTATTAATTTTAATGAACATTTACAGAGATTTTTGGATTTCCATTCATTCATTGTTGCACTTTTCTCCCTCCCCCCTCCCCACCTGCCCCCCTGCACCAGTTCGCTCCTCTCTTTGAAAAGTAAAATTTCTTCATGGGTATACAGTCCCCCCGTCCCAGTACACTCCACTATGCAACCTTCATTCTCGACTCTTGTCATAACCATAATACCCAATCATATATCGCTTTTAAACTGTTCTCTCCTTCATCTGTTTCAATGCAGTCTACATAATTTATCCAGTTTTTCTTAGTCTTACCCCAACCCTGATCAACTTTTAACAACGCAACAGAACAGAGTAGACCTGCCCAGTGGGTTCCCGCCACTGGGACCTTTAAAGGAAGCAGATTGTTGTACCTTTCTCTGCCAGAGTAGCTGGTGGATCAGAACTGCTGGACATTCAGTTGGCAGCCAAGAGCTTAATCACTGTGCCACCAGGTCTTCAGAAAAGCAACAGAAAACAAAGAACACGCCTCACAGCTGCTGCATCCATCCCAAGTCCTAACCACCAGCCCGCACCGGGTTGCCAAGGCTGTAAATTGCAACAGGGAGAGACTTCTCCCATGGAGCAGCTGGTGGATTTGAACCACATGCCTCTGAGGCTTGTCGATTAGCTGTTCAATATGTTACAGACTACACCCCGAGATTATAAAATTAATCTGAAAAACATGCCTTTGGCCAGACCCAAGCTGCTGGTTGAAAGGGAGTCACGGGGCTTCTTCTTCGTTATTGTTGTTTTCCTTCTGCCCCAAGGCAAGTTTGATGACTACCTTATCAGGCATCAGATCAAGTACTTGGGGCTGATGGAGCACTTGAGAGTGAGACGGGCTGGCTTTGCATACCGGCGGAAATACGAGCATTTCCTGCAAAGGTAAGATAAACTCAAGTTAATTGAGTGGAGCAGCTACTGAGGGGGAGGAGGGCCTTGAATATGGTTATAAATAAATTCCCACACACGGTCAAATGCCATAATGGTTACACTTCGTGAACAGTGTTTGGTGGAGCTCCCAGATTGATTCAGGTTTGGAAGCAGGAGTGGCATCAACTTTTTAAACCACATGCCTCTGGAAGCAGGAGTGGCATCAACTTTTTAAACCACATGCCTCTGGAAGCAGGAGTGGCATCAACTTTTTAAACCACATGCCTCTGGAAGCAGGAGTGGCATCAACTTTTTAAACCACATGCGTCTGGAAACTCTATGTTCATAGAACATAGAGAAACAATGATAGTTATACAACAGGGTTCAGGTCTTTTGTTCATAAAGTTCCTATGAGTCACACTCACCTCAGTGGCACTTAACAACAACAGCTCCCCCTAAGGAATTTGGTTCAGTTCTTTTTTTAATTTTTCTTATTATTATTCATTTTAATGAAAATGTACAGAGACTTTGAATTTCCATTCATTCATTGTTGCACTTTTCTCTCTGCCCACCCCTCCCCACCCCAGTACACTCTTCTCTTTGAAAAGTAAAAGAAAAATTCATTATTTTACAATCCCTCCCCCAGGTCCACTCCACTATTACAGCCTTCGTTCTGGACTCTTGTCATGACAATAATAACCTAATCACATATCCCTTTTAAACAGGTTTCTCCCTCATCTGTTTCAATGCAGTATACATTATTGAACACATCTTTCTCAGTCTCTCCCTAACCTCAAAGTCAGTCCTGTTTTACAACAGTGGCACTATGCAGTATTTGTCCTTTTGCGACTGAGATATTTCACTCAGCATAATGTCCTCCAGGGTCACCCATTTTGAATAATATTGCATGAGTTTCTTGTTTTTCAATGTAGCTAGTATTCCATTGTGTGAATATACCATAGCTTCTCTATCCATTCGTTTGATGATGGGCTCTTGGGTTGTTTCCAACTCCTTGCTATTGTGAACAAAGCCACAATAAATGTGGGTGTGCATATATCTGCTTGGGTGGCGGTTATGGTCTCTTTAGGGTATATTCCCAGTAGTGGAATTTCTGGGTCAAATGGCATCTCTATTTGCAACTTTTTGAGAAAGCACCACACCGCCTTCCACAGTGGTTGCACCATTGTACACTCCCACCAACAGTGAATAAGGGTTCCAGTTTTTCCACAACCTCGTCAGCATTTGTTGCTTGCTGTTCTGTTAAATTTTGCTATTCTGACTGAGGTGAGATGATGTCTCATAGTTGTTTTGAAGGAAGTTGGTTCAATTCTTAACTGCTATTGCTGCCACAGGGAAAGATATATATCATTCCAGAGATTCTGAAGGCTGACTCAGTCTACCCACATTTCTTGATTTTATCAAGCCTGTGTCTTACTTCTTTTTTTAAAAAAAAATAATAATAATAGAATCTTTATTTAAGTCCCATCTGCCAACTCAGTGTTTTACACCAACTCAGGAGCAAAAACTTTCACAGGCTTCACAGCTTTTTATGTAGGCGCTGCTTTTGTGGGAGCGTCAGAAACAGCCATTGCTGTCTTTTTAGGTGCTTGTTTAACCTTTCTTGCTTCCTTGGCCCTGAGAGCCTGTCTTTGCTCAGCCTTTCTAACTCCAGGCTTTTTGGTTCCTCTTGGCCACTGTATCAGCAGGAGATGCACCAATGAGGGCGGTCTGGAATTTGACTGCATGGCAGGTTCTTTTCTAATGGATTTCTTCTCATTGGCCCTTTCTGAGCTTTCTTCTGTAGAGGGCAGTCCAGTTTATCAATGTGGATTCCTTTTGGAAAGGAATGCCGACTTGCATTTTGCATTAAGAAACTAGAACCCCTTCCCGTAGATCCTGGTGTAGGGCCTCCTATGCCCAGGGTAGATTTTGTACCCGCTGAAATAGCACTGTTCAACCTACATGGCTGTGGCTTCAGGGGAATGGGGAAGGTGGTGAAGAGAAAGAGAGGATTATCATGCCTGTGTGTTGTTGTTGTTAGGTGCTGTCAAGTGACCTGTGACCCATAGCGACCCTATGTACAACAACTCTGAAGCCTGCCCTGGCCTGAGCCAGTCTCACTGACTCCAACACATCTATCCCCATTGCCCCAGTTACTGTATCAATCCATCTCATCCAGGGTCTTCCTCTCCTGCGCTGTCCCTCCACCCTTCCGAGCATGATGTCCTTCTCCATAGTCCAGTCTTTCCTGGCCACATGCCCAAAGAATTTGAGAAGGAGATTAAAAATCCTAGCATCTAAGGAGAAACTTGGTTTCACTCTCCAAGACATTTGTTTTCTTGGTGGTCCATGGTATGTTCAAGACTCTTCTCTAGCACCACAACTTGAAGGCATTGAGTCTTCTATAATCCTTAGTCATTGTCCATTTCTCTGATGCATAACAAGTAATTGTGAGGACCATGGCCTGGATCAGGAGCATCTTAGTCTCTAGACTGACATCGTTGCTTTTCAGTACTCTACTTTTTGAACCCTGCTTGCTGAAACTGAGGAGGACCTGAAGCACCTGCTGCAGAGGGTCAAGGACTGCAGCCTTCAGTATGGATTGAGGCTGAATGTCAAGAAGACAAAGATTTTTCACCACTGGACCAATTGACAGCATCAGGATAGATGGTGAAGAGATTGAGATTGTTAACAACTTTAGTCTGCTTGGCTCCATGGTCAACACTCTTGGCACCAGTAGCCAGGAAATAAAAAAAGTATTGTGATGGGGAAAGTAGGTTATTAGGGACCTCTCCAAGTTACTGAAGAGCAATGGTGTCACTCTGAAGACTAAGGTGCGTCTGATACAGGCTATGGTCTTTGCACTCACTTGTTATGCATCAGAGAGTTGGACAGTGACTAGGAGGATAGAAGGAGAATTGAGGCCTTTGAGCTGTGGTGCTGGAGAAGAGTCTTGAGGGTACCATGGACTGCCAAGAAAACAAACAGATTCATCCTGGAGAGGGTTAAACCAGGCTGCTCCTTGGAGGCAAGGATTTTGGGGCTTCATCTGACATGCTTTGGACATGTTGTAAGGAAGGACAGATCCTTGGAGAGGGACATCATGCTTGGGAGGGTGGAGGGATGGTGCAAGAGGGGGAAGACCCTCTATGAGGTGGGTTGAGTCAGTGGCTGGGGTAATCGGGATGGGTGTATCAGAGGCAGTGCGATTGGCACAGGATAGAGCAGGGTTCAGGGCTGTTATACATAGGGTCGCTATGTGTAGTGACTGGATGGCACATTAACAACAACTTTTACAATCAAATGCATGATCCGTTTCCTTGACTTGCCACCAGGGGCAGACGTTAGCTGTGCTCAGTTTCCTTGACCTGCCACCAGGAGGCAGACGTTAGCTGTGCTTAGCTGAGGCCAGTCATGAGCTGGCTTGGGAGGGATCCCCTAGGCTTGATGAGCTGTCAAGAGCATTGAGGTAGTGGTTTAAGAGGTTAAAGACTATAGCTGGAATCCTCGATCTTTGTCTCATAGCTGAGACCTGCTTCATTATCTTTAAAAAGGGGATTAAAATGTCTACTTTGGAGAACTTTATGAGAACTTGCTGATAGACCTCACCAGCACCTCTGCCGACTGCCATCAAGTCAGTGCTGCACAAAACAATTCCCCTGCTCTATGCCAGGTCACCATTGATAGTACTCTCAAGCCCTTCAGTGTGGCCATTGTGTGTTTTGAGTGGCTTCCAACCTAGGGGACTTACTTCCAGCATTAATTGGGCAATATGCTGTTGTGTTACAATATTCTATTGTGAACAATATTCTGTTGTGATCAGAATCAGAGATTTCAGTATGGATTGCATGTCAATGTCAAGAACACAAAAATGGCAGCTTCATGATGGTTGGAGAGGAGACTGAAACTGTCAACACCTTCATCTTGTTTGGATTCACAATTAACATCATTGGTACAGCAGTCAGGAAATAAGGAGACACATTGCACTGGGGAAGTCTGCAGTTAGGGACCTTTCCAAATTATTGAGGAGTAGTGAGATCAGTTTGAGGATTAAGGTGCATCTGATTCAGGCCATGGTCTTTCCAATTACTAGCTATGCATCTGAGACCTGGAGAATGAATAAGGATGAAGGGAAAAGAATTGACACCTTTGTGCTGTGGTGTTGGAGAAGAGCACTGACCATCCCATGGATGGCCAAGAGAACAAACAGATGTGTCTTGGACAGGGTGCAGCCGGAGTGCTCTCTGAAGGCAAAAATGATGAGGCTTCAGCACGCATACTTTGGACATGTTGCTAGGAGGGGCTATTCCTTGGAGAAGGACATGATGCTGGGAGGGGTGGATGGTCAGTGAAGGAGAGGAAGACCTTCAACCAGGTAGACTGACACGGTGACTGCTGCAATGGGCTCTTGTTTGTCAGGAAGTGTGAGGATGGTGCCGGCTAGAACAGGTTTCAGATCTTTTGTTCTCAGGGTCACTATGAGTTGTGCTCAACTTGACGACACCTACCAACAATAATTTTCAGAAGATCACCAGGCCTTTCTTCCACGTCTGTGTTTGTCTGAAACCTGTCCACTATGGGTGCATAGCTTCCAGCACCAGAGCTGTAGCACACAAACCACCTCAGCACGTGAATCACTGAGTTCCCAAACTGCTTGTCTGCCGTAGCTTCTCTGGCAATGAACTGTACTACATCAGTACCACTAAAACAGCAGCAGCACATGCTCCAGATAAGTGTGACATTGTTATTTCTGCCTCTCAAAATGCCTGAATGGCAGTTAACTCTTATTGTTCAATTCATTAGGCTCCTCTTTGGCTGTTTGTTGGTGTTAGGTTCTGACCATAAAGTTGGAACCAACCCACAACTGACCCTTCAGTGGGGTTTTCAGAGGCAGTAAATTGCAGTCATTATTCAACTTTCAGATTGTACAGAAGACAATGGAAAATACCATGGCTTGGCTCGGGTGCACCTTAGTCTTTAAACTGACATCCTTGCTCTTTAGCACTTTTGAGGATCCCCAGGCACTTATCAGTGTCCCAAGGATATTGTATTTAGTGATGAAACTAGGTTCCTAAATCAGCATCAGGGTTGAATTAGTCTTGAAAACGCCTATTGCTCTTAAGGATGACATGGGCTCTTCTGTGCTGGATTGACGGTTGTGTCTTAAGTTGATGTAGCCATTTTAGAAAGTCAGGTCTAATCACCCAGTCTGTTGAAAGCATTCCTCTTTTTCCTTGATGTGTGAATCTGAGGTTGGCACAGGATAGAGCAGGGTTTAGACTCTTGTACACAGGGTCACTATGAGTCACAAGTAGCTCGGTGGCACATAACAACAACAACAACATCATGATAAGAATGCTATACTAGTTTGAGTAGTGGGTATGTCACAGGTTTGGATACTACAGCTTCCTCTGTACCCCTTTCCTCTCCCTCCAGGTACAAGTCCTTGTGCCCAGACACCTGGCCACACTGGCCTGGGCCTCCAGCAGAGGGTGTAGAGCGGCTTATCAAGTACATTGGCTACAAACCTGAAGAATACAAGTTAGGGAAGTAAGTGCTCCTCTGATCAATGGTCAGTCTATTGTCTTGCTTTCAAAATGTTTCTATCCAATTAGAGCCTGGAGAATGTGATTTCTTAGAGCATTGAATAAGTTTACAAACAGATTCCTTCCATCTGCTCAATCGTAGTAACTCCGGTGGCATCACACACAGCGCATTGTGCTGTTAATTGAGAGATGCATGATTCTATTTCACTAGCTGCTCTGAGGGAGAAGGGTGGGCCTCTTCCCCCCATGGAGTTGGTCTCAGAAACTCAGTGGAGGGTCACCACGGGTCAGAAGCTTGGTGTTGGTCTAAATTAGAAGGGCTTTGGTGCTGCCTCACCTTGCAGAGGAAGTTCCAAGGAGCCCTTTCACAGCCCCGCTCGGCAGCCAACACAGGTCTCTCTCTGCTGGCCCACTTCCGTTCCGTGTGTCCATTCAGACCTCACTTCCAAGCTGTCAGCTGTGAAGGCATTAGCATCTCAGGGAGTGTTCTGGACTCCTGTCCACTGGAAGCTTTGTGGCAAAACTTTGTGGCGAATCAACAAGACTTTATTTTTGACGAGGGATAATTTGATAACAAGAAAATAAAGTCCAGGTTAGAGGATCCTTCCCCGGGCTGTGGAGACTCCCAGTTTCTGGGGAATCTGCCTTTGAATCTAAGTATTAATCAATCGGCTTTTCTTCTCGCCTGTATTCATCTCCTAACTCCTGCTTGTCTGCCCTCCATCTTTATGCTCTTGGTCTTGACCTACTCCATCAGTCAGTTTCTGATCCAAATCAGAACTGGTCTCAGTATGTCTATCCTCAGGGAAGAGGTCTTGGGGGTCAGGTAGTGTCTGCCCTCAGACTTGGGTCCCGACAGTGGGTGCTCTGGGGAATTTCATTCTCAAGGTCAAGCTTGTGGGTTGTGTTCCATTGAGTCAGAACCGACCCATAGCTGACCCTCCGGCTGTTTTCAGGGCAGTTAATTGCATGGGAGGAGATTGCCCATCCTCCTCCCACAGAGCAGCTGGTGGCCTCGAACCGCATGCCTTCAGGATTGCAGCACAGCTTCTCGCCACTAGGCAGGCGATCTCGCTCATTCCCGCTGACTTGGTGCTGACTAAGGGCTGACCCTCCAACATCTGCCCATCTTCTTCCCTTGAAGCAGCTTGTGGATTCGAACCATCAGCCTTTGGATTATCACTGTAATGCCCTACAGATGCCACCAGAGTTCCCAGGGCCAGACCACAGGGGGCCAATATTTGAAGCTTATCTTGATTGTTTGCTGGAATCTTCTTTTAAACTTAGACCCATATCCTTGCTTTCACATTCTAAAACCCAACTTGAAACAATGTCAAGTTAGAATGGCAATTGATCAAAGGATAATGAAGATAATCTTTTCTTTTCCCTCCCTCTCACTCCTAGAACCAAAATATTTATTCGTTTCCCCAGGACTCTGTTTGCTACTGAAGACGCCTTTGAATTTAGCAAACATCAATTAGGTATGATTTTTGCTGTGCTCTGATTTCAATAGAAAGTGAAATCAACACGTTTGGCTTGGGGCTAAGTCTTACACTAGGGTGTCTAATATTAAATGTTACCGCATGTGTTGTGTAATGCTGCAGTGAATATTAGTAGTGTGTATCTGTTTGAGCTCCTGCTTTCAAATGTCTGAGGTAAAGACCTCAGAGAAGCATTTGCTTTGCAAACCAGGAAGGTGGTGGTGGTGGTTGTTAGGAGGTGCCGTCGAGTCGAGTACGACTCATAGTGACCTATGAACAAAAGATCTGAAACCTAAACCCTGCAGCCAGGAGTCAGCTGTGAATGCTAAATGAAATCAGATGAGGGAACAATACAAAAATAATCAAAATTGCTTGGAGAGAGAGAAGTTTGCCTTGGAAACCAAAAGTGGTCTGTTTAAAGCTCAAGTGATGCGTGTGCTTGTTACTAGCCTAGAATCCTTCGGGGCAATTCTGCCCTCTGAAGATTTCTCAGTGATTTAACTGGAGGACACCCCACAACTACATACAAGGTGCATTTGAAGTCCTTTCCATCATGATCTCACTTTATACTCAATACAAACCTACAGAAGTCAGTGTTATGTTCATTTTTCACTTAGGAAATCACAAACGACCCTATATAGCATTGAAGCAGCAGAGCTGGGATTTGAACCCGGGTTCTATCTGGTTTCAAGATGTAGGCTTGCAGCCACTGCATTATCTTTTTTCACTCTTACCAGGCACATCAGTCATCAAGGTCTTGTTAGGGGTCAGGTGTTGAGTCTGCTGGCCTGAGCCAGCGTTTTCTAACCTGCAGGAGAGGACAAGCCTGGCCTCTTGTAGGAGCTCAATGCCCATTATAGGGAGAGGGTTGGTGGCGGGCAGGGACGCCGAGGCGCCAGTGTGTGTCTTGTGGTTACTCAGACCTGAGTCCTGATGCTGCCACATAGTCGTTGCAGGAGCAGCTTGTCCTGCCTGGGTATTAAGTTCTTTTGTGAAGTGTCCTTGTAAAGCCTGCCCTCAGGGAAAGGGTCCTTCGCCAAGGGGAACAAATAAGTAAACCCAGTTCAGCACAGTTCTGGAGCAGACTCACATTGAACTGCCTGCTTAGAGGCTGTGGTGGAGTCCCCTCCCATGTCAGCCAAGCACAGTATCACTCTGAGGCCCTTCTGTCACTGCTCCTCTGGGAGGCAGGCAGAGGCTATTCTAAAGAAGCCCAAACCAAAGCCATTTCACCAGAACTTTGTGTTTTTCTCTTAAGTTGCAAGAATCCAAGCCATGTACAAAGGCTGCCTGGAGAGAAGAGCATACCTGAAAACAAGACGTGCAGGTAGGTGGGATTGAAAGCGACCTGTCAGCTGGGAGCCTGCATTAGCTAGTTCCTTCCTGACGTGGCCCTGCCATCCTGGTCCTGGTCTAGTGACCTGGGTAGGGCCACCCAAGTTCAGTTCTGGGTTGAGCCTCATTGTTCTTCCATGAACCGGAGATTGTGTGTTCCATGGGGATAGTATATTCAATTCATTGTATGTGCTTGTTAGTATATGCATGTCTACTATATGTATATATCTCTCCAGAGTACTGAAGAGCAACGACGTCAGTCTGAAGACTAAGGTGCGCTTAATACAGGCCACAGTCTTTGCAATTACTTGCTATGCATCAGAGAATGACTAGGGGTGATAAAATGAGAATTGATGCCTTTGAGCTATGGTGCTAGAGAAAAGGATTGAATATATCATGGACTGCTAAGAGAATGAACAGGTTTGTCCTAGAGAGGCTGAGACCAGGCTGCTCCTTGGAGGCAAGAATTCTGAAGCTTCATCTGACTGACTTTGGATGTGTTGTAAGGAGGGACCAGTCCCTGAAGAGGGTCATCATTTTTGGGAGGGTGGACGGACAGCACAAGAGAGGAAGACCCTCAATGAGATGGATTGATTCAGTGACTGAGGTAATAGGGATGGGTGTGTCAGAGACAATAAGATTGGGACAGGATAGAGCAGGGTTTAGGGCAGTTGTACACAGGGTTGCTATGAGTTGCAGACGACCTGATCCCACATAACAACATATGCATGTTTGAAAATAATTTTTTTTTTACAAGCATTACTGAGGGTACCATGGACTGCTAGGAAAACAAACAGATTCATCCTAGAAAGGGCTAAACCAGGCGGCTCCTTGGAGGCAAGGATTCTGAGGCTCCATCTAACATACTTTGGACATGTTGTAAGGAGAGACCGGTCCTTGGAGAGGGACATCATGCTTAGGAGAGTGGAGGGACAGCGCAGGAGGGGAAGACCCTCTATGAGGTGGATTGATTCAGTGACGGGGGTAATCGGGATAGGTCTGACAGTGTGATTAGTACAGGACAGAGCAGAATTTAGAGCTGTTGTACATAGGGTTGCTGTGAGTCGCAAGCGACTCGATGGCACATAACAACAATAAGAAGCATTACCAGGGTCCTTCAAAGGCTCCCTGTCCCTCGCCTCTCCTGAGTCTTGTACTCGCCATTCCCGCAGCTCTGACTGAGCTCTGGTTATTTCTGTCGACCTGCTGCTGACCTTTCACTGGTAAAGTTTGCTGACCCCTGTGCTGTGTGGACAGACCACTACTTAAGCTGTCATTGTGCACTGACAGTTGTGTTGTTTCTGGGTGTTCTCATTTTTACTTATAATAATTTTTTAAAAGAAAACTGCTGATACAATAGAAGCATTTAAAAACTATTTAAGGGCCAATATTCAGAAATTAGGAAGGGGGGAAAAAAGAAATTGGAAGGAAGCAAGCCAGAAATCTCATTTTAATGTGTCCTGATGTATGTACACACCTTAATTTTTACACGTAGAGCACAGGGAGCTCTAGTGGCTTAGAGGGTAAGGAGTTGTGCTACTAACACAAAGGTTAGGAGTTTGAATCCATCCATCTACAGGAAGAAGATGGACAGTCTACTGAATAATTTACAGTCTCAGAGTCTGTTTTCAGCTGAGACTGTTTTGACTTGATGGCAATAGGTTTTGTTGAAAGGGGGAACTATTGAGACCCTAAATTACCGCAAGTGCCACTCACATCCCCGAAAACAGCCTGGGGAAGATGATGCCCTGGCACCAATGTGGGGTATCCTAGCTCACCCTCTGTGTGAACCCCTCAGGTAAGAACTGTTGTTGTTGTTGTTATGTGCCATCGAGTCGCTTGCAACTCATAGCGACCCTATGTACAACAGCCCTAAAACCTGCTCTATCCTGTGCCAATCGCACTACCTCTGACACACCCATCCCGATTACCCCAGTCACAGAATCAATCCATCTCATAGAGGGTCTTCCCCTCCTACGCAGGAGGTAAGAACTAGAGCCAATAATAATCACCCTTGAGGCTTCACGGGGTGCTGTGGTGGGAGCCTGACATATCCTTGCATTTGATGGTGATCTAAACTCTTTGTGTGGGGAGGGGGAAAGAAAATGTACAACCATGAAGAAAAAAAATGAAGAAAATAATTTCTGATGTTTTAAAAAAAGAAATAAAAATTTTTTAAAAATAATTATATGGTAAGTAAAAATAACAAAACAATATTGACAAAAAACCAAACCAAAACAAAACAAACACCCCTGTTTGCGACTTACACTGCAGAATGACTAATTCTAACAAAGCTTGGTGTAGCTCAACGCACTGCTAAGCCCCTGCACTGCCTCTCAGGAGGGTCAAATCCCTTGTGACTGCACAAGAGAAAGGCAGCAGTCTCCTGCAGTGTGGTTTGTTGTTGTTGTTGTTAGGTGCTGTGGAGTCGAGTACGACTCAGAGACCCTGTGAACAACAGAACTGAATCCCGTCCTACTATCCTGTGCTGTCCTCACATCTCTGATACATGTTAGCCCATTGCTGTAGTCACTGTGTTAATCCATCCCAATGAGAGTTTTCTCATGAAACATTGGAAAAAACCCCGTGTGATTTACAGCCTCCATAGCCTTCTGCAGGGTAAACTGTGAGTTGATTCCAAGAACCTTCTAATGCCAGTTGTGTTCTCCCACAGCCATCACACTTGAAGCCTACTGGCGTGGAGCTTTGGTCCGGAAGCAGGCTGAAAGGAGGAAGTGGGCTGCTCAGGTTATAAGGAAGTAAGTCCCCAGACACAATGGCAGGGATGATCACTAATGGTCTGTGCATAGGAGGAAGGGTGGTTGTGGCCAGGACTGAGCCTTTCCAGACTTGTTCCCTGTGGAGCACCAATGCCTTAGGAAGTGAGCTCCTTTTCTGTCTTGAGATACCAAACTGGATAGCGATTCACAAATTCTTTTGTCAGTGTCCTTGAGTCCAGCACAACTCATGGTAGCCCTCTGAACAGCTGCTCTGAACCCTGCCCTATCCTGGGCCATTATGTTTCTTGTTATGTGCTGTTGAGTTAGCTGCAACTCATAGCGACCCCATGTACAGCAGCTCTGAAGCCTGCTCTGTCCTGAGCCAGTCTCACCATCTGCGACACATCTATCCCCATTATCCTAGTTACTGTATCAATCCATCTCATCCAGGGTCTTCCTCTCCTGCACTGTCCCTCCATGCTTCTGAGCATGATGTCCTTCTTCAAGGTCCGGTCCCTCCTGGCTATGTGCCCAAAGTGTGATATGGAGCTTCAAAATGCTAGCCTCCAAGGAGAGACTTGGTTTCATCCTCTCCAAGATAGACCTATTTGTTTTCTTGGTAGTCCATAGTATGTTCAAGACTTTTCTCCAGCATCACGTCTTAAAGGCATTGATTCTTCTTCTGTCATCCTTAGTCATTGTCCAGCTCTCTGATGCATAGGAAGTAATTGAGAAGACTATGGCCTGGATCAGGCGCACCTTAGTCTCCAGACTTACATTGTTGCTTCTCATTATTCTGTAAAAGGTCCCTGACAGCAGATTTTACCTAATGCAGTTAGTCTTTGGATTTCTTGACTGCTGGCCTTGCTCAAAAGTCACAAAGCCAAATGCTTTCCAAGGCCAGGCAGGCCAAGTGAGTCCCATGCACTGAAGCAGACATTAGGGAGTGGTGAGGTCTATAGAAAAGTGCAGAGGTCCAGCTCAGAGGGGGCAGGATGGCTCTGCTCCAGTTAGTCAACAAAAATGGAGGAATGCCACATCCTCAGACACACCTGACCCCCTCGTCACAGTCACTGTGTCAATCCGTCTCATCCAGCGTCTTCCTCTCCTCCATCCTTCCAAGCATCATATCCTTCTTCATACTTCCCCAAATTCTAAAACAAATTATCTGCTTTCTTGACAATGAATTTGTTGTTTTCCTTTTTAAAGGCACAGATGTGGGGCAAGTTGGGCTGGAGTTGGCTTCAGACGATTTCAGTAATTACCGTGTTGCCCTCTGAACTGAACACGCAGGGAAAAGTTCTTGTGAAGAAATGGACCCCAAAACTAACTCAACTCTGTTGCTGTTTAGGTTCATAAAGGGATTCATCAACCGCAACAAGCCGTTGACCCCTGAGGATGAGGAATTCGTGGCGTATGTACGGAAGAATTACATCTTGAACCTCCGGTACCATGTCCCACAGAATGTCCTGGACAGGAGCTGGCTGAGGCCCCCCGGCATCCTGGAAAATGTAAGGACCAGCAGATGTTGCTGGTATGTGGGCACACAGGAGTCTTGCTGATGCCTCTGTGTGCTGCCACCTGTGGCTTCAAAGGGTTAACTTAGCAAAACCCTTGTTAACAGGTCTCCTAAGAAATTTCACTTGAACTCCTACTATGTAGCTTTGAATTCTAAAGCCCACAGAGGTCTGTCTAGTTGGAGCACTTTTTTTTTTAAATCAAAGGTATTTATTTCTTATGATTAATATATGTTGGTGGTGTTACATGCTTCCAAATTGCTTGTGACTCACAGTGACCTATGTTCAACAGCCCTAAACCCTGCTCTGTCCTGAGCCAAACATTGTCTCTGACACACCTACCTCCATTACCCCAGTCACTGAGTCAATCCATCTCATCGAGGGTCTTCCTCTCTAGTGCTGTCCCTCCACCCTCCCAAGTATGATGTCCTTCCCCAAGGACCGGTCCCTCCTTGCAGACGAAGCCTCAGCTTCAAAGCTCCAAGGGTCAGCCTGATTTCACCCTCTCTAGGATGAAAGAGCTGAGTAGTCAGAGCACTTTTCAATCGTTTCTGTCTGTGTTGTCAGGGCAGTGGTGGAATCCTCTCCTTCCAGGAGAGAGAGCCGGGTTTTGTTTTCAGCCAATGCACCTCCCTCTTGTTTGCCCCAGAGGCTTGTATGTGGCTCTGATGCTGTTTCCAGCAGAGCTTCTACACCATCACGGCCTTAGGAAGGCAGGTCTGGGGAGCTCCTTTCATAATTTGGGCACTAGTAGAAGCCCCAAGTCACAGTAGCCTGGTCACGAGGCTCATCGTGAGGCTTCCACAGACTGTAGATCTGGGCAGCATTTAGAACCTGTGGGGTGCAGGAATGAGAGTCAGGGGCCAGCTCAGTGCCTGCTAGCACTATGACCCAGCTTCCCAGACGGCTTCAGTGACAGTTGTGGAGAATCAAGCCTCTCAAAGTTGGCCAGAGGGAGTTGTAAGAAACATGAGTGGATGCTACTATCAATGCTGAGTCCAGGGCTCCTGGACTCCCTGAGGCAGAATCTCTGGGAATCAGTCCTGCATTTAGCCAGCTTCCGGTGAAGCATAGACCTTGGAGCTTGGGAGGTTAACTGTTGGTTAGTTGGTGTGGTTTTTTTTTTAATTAACATTTCTTTTTTACATTCATTGTTGCACATTTTCTTTCCTCATCCCCAGCTCACCCAGCAGTGTTCTAGACTGTTGTCATACATATGCTGCTTAATCATGTATTCCTTTCACAGTTCTTCTCCTCATCTGTTTTAATGCAGTGTTCTCTTGCCACTCTTTTGCATGCTTTCCCTGATCCCCCATCCTAGTCCATAACAGTGCTGTTATGCAGTATTTTTCCTTTTGTGACTGAGCTATTTCACTTAGCATAATATCCTCTAGGCTCTCCCATGTTGTGTAATGTTTTATTTCATTGCTTTTCAGTGCTGCGTAGTATTCCTTGTGTGTACATACCATAGTTTTTCTACCCATGTTTGTTGATGGGCACTAGGGTTGCTTCTGTCTTTACTATTGTGAATAATGCAGCAATAAACATGGAGGCATATACATCTGTTTGTAGTTCCGATTTCTCTAGGGTAACTGCTTGTTTTGACAATATAATGAATACTGCGCTTTAATGGTCTGTCTGAGCTGGTCAGCCCGAGACCCAGTGAGGCAGGTAGGAGAGGTGCATGTTCGTTCTCCACACAGGTATCTGACATGCTCAGGAAAATGTGCATGAGGAACCTGGTCCGGAAGTACCGCAGTGGGCTCCCTGCTGAGCAGATCGCCCAGGTAAGGGTTTGGGGTGGTGAGGCGAGTCCTGGTAATGGTGCCAGACTCTTCCTACCAGCAATCTTCACCATGTCCCAAGATGGGGGGCACGTGTCCTGAACCTCCCTGGCCCCGGCACAGAGCCCCCAGTGTCCGTCAGCTGCTGTCCTATCAGCAGCATTTACAGGTGAACACGGCCTGGATGGGCCCCATAAGGCCCCTTCTCTCCTGGAGGTCTGGCTTTGCTTCTGCTTAGCTGCACACCAGTGGACAGTTTCTGTATACAAGCACGTGACTTGTTTCCATAAACATGCTATTGCTCGCTCGCCTTGGCCGTGGCGGCAGAAAAGGAGCCCCAGACAGTTATGTAAACGAATGAGCAGAGCTGGGTTCCCGTTGGAACTGCTTACAAAAACAGGCGCTGGGATGGACCTCATCCCCCACACACGCTACGTGGCTTGCTAACCTCTTATCTAGAAATAAGGGCTCTCGCGATTCCCAGCATTCCAGAAGGGTCAACTCCAGTTCCCTACTGGGGTCGTTTTCCAGGGCATTGTGCTCAAATCAGGAATTAGGATCTGGATTCAGGGATGCAGACGCATAATTAGGCTCCTCCTGCTGAACCAGAGAGCTGAGGGAGACCATGCATGTAAAGCGAGAGCTCGCTTCCATTTTTGTGGTTTCGCCTTTATGGTTCCAGATGCGGCAGAGAGTGGCTGCCAGTGACATATTCAAGGGAAAGAAAAATGGCTACACAGAAACTTTAAATCAACCCTTTGCCAACAGCCGACTAGGTGAGTCCACTTTCTTGTCTCTTTCTGAGAGAGGCCCCAGAAGGATGCCCAACTCCATAATATTTTAAAGTCCTAAAAATAACTTGGCCAGTTGAGCTCTTGCTCACAAGGGGAGACAAGGGCTGGTAGAAGATTCCAGACTGACTCTCCCACCGGGGAGCTGTTTACTGATGCCTGCTTTGGTTCGCTCCTTAGATGGAGATGACATTAATCCCAAAGTGCTTCAGTTCCTTGGCAATGAGAAAATCCAGGTAAGCAAGGCTTGTCTCTAGCCTCAAACAAGATTCCCTGATTACATTTGAGGACAGGGTCTGTTTTCGACATCACCTGAAGCACTATTTCAAAGGCAGGGCTGCTCTTACGTCAGATAATGGGGATTAGATGATTATACCTGCCCATCGCTGTCTACATGGCCCTCCAGACATTGTCCTGGCTTCCTATGATACTTGGATGGAATGAAGCTGTGAACTTCCTCTTCTTGTGTCAGGCAAGGATGGCGAAGCTTTGCCTCACATAGATTGGGCACATTGCTAGGAGAGGCTACTCCTTGGAAAGGGACATCAAGCTGGAGGGTCAGCGAAAGAGAGGGATTCTCTGCTCTAGTGGGCTTAATTATGTCAGAGATGATGTCAGCATTGGACAGGACAGGGTTCAGAGCTTTGGTTCACAGGGTCACTTTGAGTCATAGTCAACTCCACGGAACTTAATATGTGGGAAACAATGAAGAGCAAGGGTCTGGGTATGGACGCTGCCTTCACCACCTCATAGCTGAGGCAGGGCCCATCAGGGTGTCTATCTGTGAGCACAAAGGCAGGGGATTACAAGAAGATGAGGAGTGGAGGCTGCGGCAGCCTGGCAGTTTGAGTGGTGGGTATGCCTTTGCCATTATTGAGTGCTCTGGGGTCTGCTCTGCCCCTTTAGGTGCCTCGTGTGATGGGGACCTTGCAAGGTCACCAACTCCCTTGTCCTCTCAGATCAGAGTCCCAAAGTAGGTGCTCAGAGCCTTGTCCTCTTTGAGGACAACACTGGGAAGAATAGAGGGGCAGCAACTGTACACACAGCACTAGGACGCAGGCAGACCCAGCGGGGTCTCTGGATGTTTCAAGCAACTTCGGCAGTTTGACTTAGCCATTGGGGGGGCCCTAACCCTGAACAGTAACCTTCCCCTGTGGTGATGGTGAACTCTTTGCAGTATGGTATCCCGGTCATTAAGTACGACAGGACGGGCTTCAAGGCGCGGGCCCGGCAGCTCCTCCTCACTCAGAAGGCAGTTTATGTGGTGGACTTTGCCAAGGTCAAGCAGAAAATAGAATACTCTGTACTCAAAGGTAAGGGGGGGACAGACTGAGACACTCAACCCACTGTGATGCTTCGACACAGCCGCAGTGTGGGCACACGAATTGGGCTGTCCCCAAGCTCCAAGTGCTGTGGCCTTTTACTCTTCCATTATGATCAACAGCATCCCTTCACCCAGATGCCCACATTGCCCACTGGCTATCTTCCATGAGGACCTGTTTAATCAGACCTTTCTGATCAGATAGCAGGTTGGATTTGGCCCAGCCTAGGAGGAAACGAGAATGCTGGTTGGTGGGAGGTCCATCTTTTTTTTTTTTTTT